ATGTTTCTCTCCCTCATCCCCACCCTGCCCCCAATACCTCCATCTGTGACCCAGTCCCTGATGCCACCCCTGGTGACCTGTGGAAGCCCATTACTTCTCTGGGTCTTGATTTTCTCATCTGTTTGAAAACCCTTACAAATCAGAATTGTTAAAGGAAGAAACATGGGGGAGTTATGAAAAAGGCGAAAAACAGGCTCGTACTGGTATCTTAAGGGAAAGGTGATTAGTGAATAACAAGGGGTGAGTCTCTTGAGAGAAAGTTGAACAATGGGTGAGGATTGGAGGTGTGGTGAAGATGACAGAGCAGTTGGCAACAGGGAGTGGGATTAGGATGGAGATTAAGAAGGTGAAGACAGAGGGTAGAGGCCAGGTGGGATGGTGGAAAGGTACTTTATTTGGTGATGGAGGACTGAGGGGCCAAAATCTATCCTTGCCAGTTATTACCTGGGTGACCTTGGACAAATCCCTTCCCCTCTCTCAACCTCCTTTGCATCTTCATCTTTAAAATGAGGGGTTTCAGTTAAAATATCTTCCAATGGTAAAATCCTATTCTAAGTTGGGGATGAAGATAGGACAGGCCTCTGTAGGGTTAGGAAGGTTAAGCCCTTTTTTTAAGAGGAGCTAGGCAGGTGGAGGAAGTGAACTAGAGACTCAAGAGCTACCTGTGCCCCCGGGCTTTGGGAGGATTGACAGGGAGAAACAGCGTTGGGTTTAGAGAAGAAATTAAGACTACTTGAGAGCCAGGGAGAGAGGTGGGTCCCTAAGCTGGGCAGGCCGGGCTCAGTAAATACACTGTGAACCGGGTAGAAGGAAGGAGTTTACTCTGCTTCAGCCCCAGGGGGATGGTGTGAGTGACTCAGCTCAGGAGGAGTGTTGGAGGGATGGAGGAGCAAGAGCAAAGCTTTTTGGCCTAGGAAGGAGTCTGGAGCCTTAAAAGGGGTTGTTGGGGGGAGAGAGAGGGGAGACTAAGAAGGAGTGGAACTAAAGCCATTATGCCTGGTATCCCTCTAAGAGGACTCTACTTTCATACCGAACCTAGCTTAAATCTTGAAGATATGGGCTCCAGTCCCCAGTGAGTGACCTGGGTGGAGCTAGTACGAGCTAGCTCAATGGAGTATGGAGGAGGGAAGGCAGCAGTCACAAAGGTGATCCTCACTCCACCCTAATGGCCCTGCAGGATTCATCACAGTGCAGGCCCTGGGCTCAAGTGTCTGGGGCCCCAGGTCCTGCTGTTCTGTTTTCCCCCAAAGTGCCCACAGGACACATTTTAGATGCGTGTGTGACTGGAGGGGCCCAGGACAAAGTGGAAGAATACATATCAGGACTGAGAGACATAGCCCATAGAAAGACAGACCATATAGACAATGTGGTATGGGGAAACTGAAGTGAAAAGACTCAGGAGAACTGTGTTCAAGTCTTGGGTGCGCTCTTTACTGTCTGTGTGAATTTGAGCAAACCCCTTCTGTTCTCTGGGCCTCTAAAGTGAAGTAGAATGGGGTTAGATGTTACCTAAGGTCCCTCTCAGTTTTAATCTTATAATCTTGGAGCTGAATCAGGGTCTGGCTGAAAACAAATTCATTGGACCAGGCCAGAGAGAAATTGATGACTTAATGTCCCACCAGCATTAGCCTAAGTGGCTTTTATGCCAAGGGAAGTGTAGGACAGGAAGTACTATATGGAAATCCACTTAGCCAGGCACAGTTATACAAAAAAGGGATGGGAAGTTGTTGCTGCGATGCCTAAAGATCAAAGACCAATAAGACAAAAATGGTGCTGAGGTTGAGCATGAGATAGCCCTGTTCAGTCAATCTTTCTATCAGGGAGGGAGGAACTGTGAGAAGATGCTCTAATCCTTTGCCTTCATGGGGAATTGGCTGGGTCTGTTTTGTGGGACATCCCCAAGCCTGGTAAGTATGTTTTCATCTCTGCATATCTGTGTTTGTGTACTTTGTGAACTAGAGGAGGAAAGGGACCCCATGAAGAGAAACCAGAGAATCCTGGGAAATCCTGGGAGAGACTGCAGAGAAGAGAGATAACTTGGGGGCTTTGGGATAGAGGCCTAGAGGGGGAAAGGAGGGGAATAGAAGCCTCTAGAGAAAGGAGACAATGAGGAAGGGAACCTGAGAGTATGAAGGATACAATGCAGGTGGGAAAGACAGAGCCCCTGGTGGTGGAAAATACAACTTTGCCCCAGGGCACCACTGAAGGTAGAGGGTGCTAACAAATCTTTTGGTTATTCAACAGTGTGGAAACAACAGAGCTCAGTACTTGGTTAGCAAGAGCAATTAGTCAGGGTAAGAAGATTCCAGATAGTGGGCCTGGGTGAGCTCCTGTGGAGTTTACTTATTTTTTGTGCTTTCCCCAGGTGCAAAAATTCCTGGGCACATCTCTGAGTCTGACCCAGGAGTGGTATGGGACCCTTTGAGAGATTGGGGAAGAGCTTGGAGGTTAAAGAAATTCTCCTAATACAGCAGGTATTACTGTCACTATGAACACACATGTCAAGGGTTACTCTCACTCACCTATCAGCACTCATAGATCCACCTGGAGGGGCCATCTGAGGGACCAACATTTCTTCCTTTAATGAAGATGAGAACACATACAGAAGGGCAAGTTTCTACCCTTGGGGTACATATAAACTTGAATGAAAGAGGCCTCTTTTACCGATACTTCAAGGATCTATGACTTCCTTAGCGTACACTCTTCCTCCCAATGACCCAGAACTCAAATCAAGTCCACAATCCTTTATTAAACACCTATTTGTGCCAGGCACTGTGCTTAATTCTGGAGATACCTGGAAAGGCAAAACCGGTCTCTGTCCTCAAGGAGTTTACAATCTAATGGGGGGAGACAATACGGGGGAAAAAAACCTATGTGCAAGTAAGATATGACAGGGTAAATTGCAGATAACCTCAGAGAATTTCTCCATAACTTAGTGGCGGTCTTTGAAAATTGTCACCAGCCTGAAGAAGAGATGAGAAAATGCACCTCTCCCTTTCTCCCTTCTTTGGTGAGCTGGAAGACTGTGGGTGTGGGAATAATTGCAGACTTGGTTGATGTCTTGGTTTGTTTTGCCAGGGTTCCCCCCCCTTCTTTTCTATTCTTTGTTACAAGGTATGGCTCAATGGGTAGGAGGATGGAGGGGTATATTCAGAAATGAAGATGATGTAAAACAAACAAAAGGTAGCAATACAATTTTAAAAGTTGTGGTCAAAATATGCATCTTCCTAGAATCAACCTAGTGATGGGTATCTCAGAACTTAGTGAAGCTGGTCTTTGGATAACCAAAGTTAGTTACCAAGAGTCTATACCCTTGTTCTTTTAAGTGCTCTTTAGCTTTTTCTCTTAAGTCAGTTTAGTGGGACCCTTGCAATCTTCAAAGCCTAATTATTTAGATCTAAATGAACAAGATTTGGTCTGGAAAGCATACTTAGCTATTAAGACTGGCCCATTCCAAAGGACTGAGGAGTGAAAAATAAACAAACTGAGAACTGTGGAGAAGTAGAAGGGAGTGATGGGATATTGGCCGAAGGGGGAGCATGGCTGGTGGAAGTGGAGCAGGAGGAAGAGGGGGAGAAAGGAGAAGGGAGACTGCTATCTTGTGGTCTATCCTGAATCCCTGAATCATTGCAATTGCTATGGGTAGAGCAATTTATCCCATTAGAGACTTTAACCCCCCAAATCCAGGCCAGAGTTATCCAGGATCCAAAGAGGTTCTCCAGTCCTTAAATGTTTAAGCCCTTTAGGATGGGATTGGAAAGTAGTCTGTTCACTGCTCTAAAGAGTGTGGAGGTGGAGAATTCTCCTGAAGGTTGAACAGATCTTTATGTCTGACAACAAAACTACCTGCCAGAAATCTGTTTCCTTTTTGTGGAATCTGCTCCTCACTCGGGAAAGAGAAGTCTTGCTTGGCTTTGTAGGGGGAGGGTATGCCAGGCCCTGAGCTGTCTGTCCTCTACCTTCTGCTCCCATATTCAGTACTGAGCTGGGAGATTACAGGGAACTTGTCAAGTGATTCTGGGAAGGGAGTCCCTAGGAGATAAAGAGAGTCAGAAGAACCAGGTTAGGCAGGATTGGGAGAGGGTCACATCCCTGAATCTATTCCCTAGCTGGGGAGGGTGGATAAAGTCTGAGATAAGGGACTAGCACTGCATGAAGAAAGAAACTTAGACCTCAAAATGCCCCACTTGGTGTACTTCAGAGTGATTTTGGGACTCGGTGTGTGTGTAAATACAAGTGTGTCAGGGAGTGTGGGGGTACTGAAAAGGAATGGGGAAAAGGGCTTGTGTAGACAAGGGTGGGTGGGGTCAAGAGGAATCTGTATTCTGAGGGACCTTTCTGAAGGATGGTGGGGATTTCTTTCTGGAGCCGGTAAAGGAAGAGAAAAGACTGAAATTACTGCGTCTGGGAAGGAGAATTTAATACCAGGGAAACATGTCAGGGGATGTCAATGGAGTTAGGGGGAGGGAGGAGGCCTCAGGGTTGAAGCGGCAGAACTGGAAAGAGGACCCCAAGTTTTAAGTAACATACCAGGCAGCCTGTGATTAAATACCTTCGGAGAGGACAGCTGGCCACTCTGCAGGAGAGGGCTTTCTGATAGAGGACAGATTGGGTGTTATTAGAGAGGAGGGGTAGTGTTTGGAGTATTATCGAGGGATCAGCCCTTCCTCCTGCTTTGCAAACCTAAAAACCAGGGTACCCCTTCCCCACCCCCAACCGCCACCGTGTAACTCAGGACTGGCCTGCTCCGAGGCAGAAGGACGGGCGAAAACGACCCCTCAAGTCCTTTCCACAGGCTGCTGGAGTCTCCAGGCAGGTTCCAGGCAGTGCCCCTTCCCCCATCCTGCGGCTCCGCCCCCGGACCTCCCACCCGGCGGGGGGCTACTGGGCGGGCTACCCGAGTCCCGGTGGGCCGAAGGAAAAGGAGGGGGTGGAGGAGGCGGGGCGGGGGCGGCGCCGAGCAGGAGCCCAAGCCCGAGCCCGAGCCCGAGCCCGAGCCCGAGCCGGAGCGGGAGCGGGAGCATAGCTTAGCCACCACCGCCTCTTGGTCCCAGCCGCCGCCTCCTTCCTTGCTCCTGCTCCAGCCCCAGCCCCAGCCCCAGCCTGGACCCGTACTTGGGGCGGCAGCAATCGAAGCCTTTGGTCCGATCCAGTCCAGCTTGGTCCGGCCCGAAACTAGAGCCCGGCCCAGCATGGCAGCGGAGGCCCCTGCCCCCGGTCCCAGTCGTTTCCCGGCCCGGTTCAGCGTCCATCCCTGCCTCTGAAGGACTCCCGACGGAGGTCCCTGGGAGCCCGGCGTCCCTACCCTCCAGCCCGCATCCCCTACACTAGTTGAACTGCGGCCCGGACTTCCCGGATCCCCCAAGTTCTGCACATCTCCGCCTCCCTCTGTCGTGCACCCCGATCTCCAGCAACTGACGCCCTCCGCACTGCACCCCCGAGTTCCACCACCCGGAACCCTCAGCCTTGCGTCTGCCATCCCCTCAGCCCTCCCTCCTCCCTCTCTTCCAGCTCTAATCCCCTCTTCCCACATCCTCGGCCCCTCCAGGTCCCAGATCGCCCCTGGCCTTGCGACCCTTTCCCGAACTCTCCTGCCCCAGGACCCGGGACTCCCGAGTCCTATACTCCTTGGTTAGGGGTTCCTCGTAGTCGCCCCCGCCCCCTCCACTCCCCTGAGCTCGCGCCCCCAGCGGCGGCGCCATGGCCAAGGACCAACTGCGGCCCCGGCTGTGCCGGATGATCAAGGGCGAGCAGGGCTATGGTTTCCACCTGCACGGAGAGAAGGGTAAAAGTGGCCAATTCATTCGCAAGGTGGAGCCGGGCTCCCCGGCGGAGGCGGCGGCACTGCGCGCTGGAGACCGACTGGTGGAGGTGAATGGGGTCAACGTGGAGAAGGAGACGCACCTCCAGGTGGGCCCGAGATGTTATGCGTATGCGTGTGCATGTGAGTGTGTGTGTGATAGACACAGAGGGTCCCGGGGGGCGGTGGATAGCTGCTATCCTGTGTCCTTATGATTGAGCTACTCTTGTATGAGCCTGCATGTTGTGCATATCTGGGTGCAATAACGTGTCATATCATGTGCCTGTGTGACACTGTCTGTGATTATATTATGATACTGTATGATAGTGCTTGTGTGTGACCCTGTATCCATATTACGGTGGGATGTCGTGTGTCTGTGTGGAGGTCTGGACGGGAGTAATGGGAAATTATCTGGAGCAGGGAGCATGACACAGTACGTGTAGCTGGATAGCTTTGTGTGACTGTGTGGGTCACTATTTTGAAGATGGATTCCTGGCTGTATCTATATTTGATGCTGTATAATATCGTATCCAGGTGACATTATAAATGACACAGTATAGCTGTATATGATTGTGCCACTGTCCATATTTAGTGTAGCTGTGACTGCATGATATTGTATTCATGTGACATTGTGTATAGTCAGCTATGTAAACAATGTATGACTGTGTGACACCATGTGTGACCTTGTGTGATAATATACCATACACACACACACACACACACACAGTGATACTATGCATGTATATACTGCGGGATACTGTAGATCTGTATTACCCTGTGATATTATGTTACATTGTATATGACACTGTGTGACACTGTGGATCTATGTGTGGTGACAGTGTGATGTGACATTGTGCATAACTGTGACACTATCTGTATATGACTGTGAGACTTCTTTTGTCTGTGTTTGGGTGTCAGAGACTGTGTTGAACACTGAGAGCAGCTCTCACTTGCACCCCCTGGGGAAAGTCTCCTTGTATGAGGAGGAGAAAAGTGTCAGGATAAGGAAATACCTGTCCCCATGATGGGTATCCTAGCCACTATCACTGGGTCCTGGAGGTGGGGTCCTTGTCTTGAAGCTTGGCTCTGTTTGGAGGGGACAGCTCTTGGGTCTGACTGTGTGCTTTCCTGGCACCATGACTCATTAGTAAGGGGGGGTACAATTTTTTGTTGATTGTGTTTCTTATGAGTGTGTGTGTTTGTTATCTGTGTATGTATTTTTGACAGAGAGAACATATGAGTACATGAGCACTATACTTGGATTCAGGAGACCTGGGTTTGAGCCCTTGTTATGTTATTTACTAACTGTGTGACCTTGGGTAAACAGTTAATCTCCCTGTTTATCTGTAAAATGGGAATGATAATGTTAGGACTTCATGTTATGAGGAAAGATTTGGCATGCTAAAGAAATGTATATCTTAGTTTTTCCTGGGTGTGTGTGTGTGTGTGTGTGTGTGTGTGTGTGTGTGTGTGTGTGTGTGCATGCACATATATGCGCACATTTCAATATATGTGTGAGACAACATTTAATGTAGTCTAATCTTTAGCTCCAGAGCTACCTCCAGATACACACCCAGGAACTGCAGCTGGGGCCTTATACTTTTGCTTGCTCTGTTTTGGCAAACTGCAGCAATCTTAGGCAGGGCAGGGGTGGGGTTGGGTTCTGAGTGTGTCTCTTCATCAGTTCTAAGGGAGAGAAGGTTGGGTAAGGGGCTTGTCTTAAAGAATCAAAAAATGATGAGGCAACGGGGGGGGCATTTGACTAGGAGAAGAGAACAATGGGGGGAATCAGGAGAGCCCCTTTCAAGTACCTGAGGTGCTGTCGTATGGAAGAGGGATTAGACTGGATCTGTTTGGCTCTAAAAGAACCAGGGCAATGAGTAGAAGCTGCAGAAGCAGAATTTATGGAAGCAAAGTTAGGCTTGACATAAAGAAAAACTGCCTAACAATGAGAGCTATGGCAAAGTGCAGTGGGCTGACTCTGGAGCTAGTGGGCTGCCTCTCAGTGAAGGGCTTTAAACAGACTAGATGGCTACTTATCCAGTGTGGTGTAGTGGCCTTGGATTGCATGGCTGATGGGGTTCCTTCCAACTCTGAAATTCTGTGATTCTGGGAATTAAGAGCTGGAAAAGGACTTAGGGACCATCTTGTCCAGCAGTTTCCAACCAAGGACTCCCTTGGCAGTTTGGTGAAGCCTATTATTGACTGACCTCTTCTCAGAACGACATTTTTAAATGCTGAAAATAAATAGGATTGCAAAGGAAATCAACTATATTCAAATGCAGTTAACAAAAAAGATACCTACACACATACATATGTATATTTATATATGCATGCATACATATAATATACATAAATATAGGTATACATATGTGTCGATATATACAAATACACATGTCTATATGTACACATAGATATATATACATACCTATACAATATGCATGCATACATACACACATATAAACACATATATACACATGTGTATATGTGTATGTGTATATATATATATATATATACACACACATATATATATGTGTGTATAGATCCTTGGTTAAGAACCCCTGATGTATCCCAACCCCCTCATTTTACACATATGGATACAGAGGCCTAGTCAGAGTGGTTACATGTTTTGCTTAAAGTCAATTAACCATTCTGTGGCTGGACCTCAGTTTCCCTGCTGTAAAATGAGCATATCTCTCATTCCTAAGCTGGCCACAGGGTGATGAATTGTATAATAAAAATATTAACAATTATATAAAGCTTACCATGTGCCAGATGTTTACAATTATCATCTCATTTGATTCTCACAACAACCCTGGGAGGTAGGTGCTTTGTTATTCCCGTTTTACAGATGAGTAAACCAGGACCAGCAGATGTGAAGTGACTTGCCCAGGGTCACACAGCTAGCAAGTGTCTGAGGGAGGATTTGAACTGAGGTCTTCCTGACTCCAGGCCCCTCAATTTATCCATTACACCATCTCGCTGACTAGTTGCCTTAGCAACTCTCCAAAACCATTTAGTAAGGTTTTAGAAAGGTTGGGAACCTATGTTAGGCAGAAGGACTACCCATATTGACAAAATTACAGATCTTGAAGTATTAATTATTCTTCTCCCCCAAGGCTCATTGTGGTGTGGAAGTGCCCTGGGGTTCTCTGGCGTTATGCTCACAGAATGCAAGTTTTGGCAAGTTCTGCCGAGCTGGGAAGACTTTGAATACAGCCTGGCCATGGACTGCTTGTCTTTCCCCTAAGGATCAGCTTTAGCTTTGCTAAAGCTGGTGACCAGGTTGGCTGCAGGGTGAATTTTTCAGCCATAGCAACTCCTAAGATAGTCTTTTAAGGCAAAGGGGTTGAAATCTTTGTTGGTGGAGGGAGCACTTACACTGATTAAGTCATGGACCCTTGAATTATTGAAACTTTAATATGACTTAGTTATATGAAACTTAAGCATACACAGTCCCCGTTTTAGAGATGGAGAAACTGAGGTCCAGGAGGATAAGTTGCCCAAGGAAAATCATAACAGTGAGTAAGTGTCTGAAATGGGTTTGGAGATTAGGTTTCCTAGTGCCAAATCCAGAACTCTTTGATGTTATCCAAGCCCCTTTAGGAAAGGCAGAGACAGGAATGGGTAGAGAGAGGCAGAGTTGGAGTATCACGTTCCCATTCCACTTCCTGGAACCATGGGGTATGTGTTAACATAATTCCTGGCACACAGTAGGCACTTACAACATGTTGATTGATTGATTGCTGGAACCTGTCCCAGCCTGAGGCTCTGGACATCAAACCAGCAGCTGGCCTGGACCACAAAGTTAAGGGGAATAAGGATGCTTGTATAATGTGTGTGTTTGGAGTGGGGGTGGCTATCCACTCATACTCACGAAGTTTGTTTTGGATCATTAATGGAATGGTAGCTCTAGAACTCAATGAGACTCAGAGGCCATCTAGTCTAACCCCTTCATTTCACATATGAGAAAAATGAGGTCTTAGGAAGGCTGTGATTTGCTCAAGATCACACAGCTAGGAAGTATCAGAGGTGCCATTGGAAATCAAATCCACTCACTTCAGAATCAGTGCTCCTTCTACCAAATATGAATGATCCCTCTGTGAGCATGCTTTCAGCAGCCAAAGGAGGTTCCTCTGCATACCCTGTACTAGGATTTAGGCCTCTGATAAATGCTGGGTTAATATTTCATCAGTCCCAAGCATGTGGCAGGCACCAATTCTCTGCCACTGCCTCCCGACAGCCCAACTCCTTATTAGCAGTGGTCTCTTCCTAGGAGGGTCTGTGGAGTGGGTCCCCACCCTGGCCAATCCAGCTTTATTATCTGGGAGCTCCAGCTAATGCCACATATAACCACATACAATCCCCATTTTACAGATGGAGAAACTGAGGTCCAGAGAGGGTAAGTTGCCTGAGGAAAGTCATACAGTGTATAAAGTGTCTGAAATGGGTTTGGAGCACAGGTCTCATAGAGCCGGTAGTGGGGAAGGCCCTTGCTTCTTTGAATGTCTGCTTTGGAAACTTAGTGAGTATTCAGGAGGTGCCAAGGGTGCACACATGCATTGTGTCATCACCTTCCTCAAACATACACTCATGTTTATACTGTCATTCTGCTCTAGACACAAATATTCACTCTGTCACCTTTATATGCACAGTTGCACAAGTCTTTCTGTCATGTATAACAAGGTGCACTAACAGAAGTGCATGCATTATGCTTTAACAAGAATCCCCTCTACAGCAAGTGGTCATACAGCCTCTGCCTGAACACCTTCAGCATTGACGGGAAGCTCACTATCTCCCGGGGTAGCCCATTCCACTTTGAGATAGCTCTAGTTGGGACAGTGAGGTGATGCAGTGGATGGAGCACTGGACCTGGAGTCAGGAGGACCTGAGGCCAAATCCAGACTCAGATACTTACTAGTTGCGTGACCCTGGGGCAAGTCACCTGTCCTGGGTGGGGGAAGAGAAGAGAGAGGGGGGGAGAGGGAGAGGGAGAGAGAGAGGGAGAGAGAACTCTAGTTAGGAAGTTTTAACTTACACGTAGCCCAGATCCACTCTCTGGGGCCAAGCAGAACAAATCTCATCCTTCTCCCACTTGACAGCTTGGAGATGGATGAAGTTCTAGGTTAAACACCCCCAGTTCCTTCGGTCGATTCTCGTAGAACGTGTATTCTGGCCCTTTCACCTTCCTCCTTGCCAGTTCGTCTGTGACCTTCCTAAAGTATCATGCACAGAAATGGACACAACACCACAGAGGACAGTGGGCCTACAACACCCTTATCTTGTCTACTTTGCTTCTGTTAAGAATAAGATCACACTGGCCTTTTCGGTTTCCATGTCCCATCATTATTGGCCCATAATGAACTTGTCCCCTGAAGCCTCCAGATATTTTCCTGCACAAATTGTTTAATTGTGGCCCTTCCATCCTGTGCTTAGGTAGTTTTATAAAAATCTGATTTTAGGCCCTTTTGTTTATGTCTGTTCCATTTCACTTAATTCAATGTAAGCCTATTGCTCTATCATATCCCTCTCTTTGTTGGGACCCTGCCTGTCTGCAGTGGGTTATCTAACTCTCCTGCCTCTGCTTCATTTGTAACTCTGATAAGTGCACCATCCATTCTTTTGCTCAAATCATCAGTACAGTTGTTAACAGAACAGGGCCAAGGACAGATCCTTGAGGCACACTCCACTGGGGACCTTCCCTCCAGGATTCCTCATTCACCCTGACTCCCACACAGACCCCAGTGTTCAGTCGCACACTCTGTCTGGATGGCACTGTACTAGAGCATGCATGCTCATTCCCACACTATCTCACCTACCCTAAATGCACCCATATTCACCTACTCTTTGTCACTTCCACACAGACATGCGGATTTCTTTGTACCTTTATTTCATCGTATGCAATGATGTATACATTGTTATTCTGTTGCCCCCACAGAGTCATGAGAGTGCTGGGTCATTCAGATGCAGTGGATAGAACACAGGGCATAGGGTCAGAAAGACCTGAGTTGAAATCTAGCCTTTGATTCTCACTAGCTTTGTGACCTTTCGCAAGTCACTTAACCTCTGTTTGTTTCAGTTTCCTCATTTGTAAAATGGGGATGATAATCACAGCTACCTCCCAGAGTTGTTAGGAGGATCACATGAGAAGACCCTGACACATAGCCAGAACTATGTAAATGTTAGCTATTATTACCCATCAGTTTTCTATCCCTCCCCATCCCCCCAACTCCCTCTGAACCTTCTTAGTATCTGGAGGCAGCTAGTTAGAGTGTAACTGCTAGAACACAGGACTGAGCCTCAGGAAGACCTGTGTTTGAATACTGCCCTGGACACTTATTAGCTGTATGACTCTGAGCTAGTCACTGAAACTCTCTGTATCTCAGTTTCCTCATTTGTAAACATGAGAATAATAATGATACTCCCCTCGCAGGATTGTTGTTCTGAGCAAATGAGCTAACACTGAAGCATTTTTGCAGTGCTTAAAGTACTATATAAATGCTAGCTATTGTTCCTGCCCTTTCCCATTTTCATGTTCTTCCTCATGATGTACTTATTTACTCTGGGCTGGGCGAGGCACCCAGCCAAGGAACCTGTGCTCTGGCTTCAGCAACACCGCTGACTCGATGTATGCCCTTGGACGGGTGTCTTGCCCTGTCTGGGCCTCAGAGTTGTGTTCTTTAAAATGGAGATTGTAATACTTGCCCTGCCTTCCTCCTAGGGGGATAGTGTGAGGAGCTACTTTACTGAGAACTCTCAACTATTACAGCTGTATGTCACCTAAGGCGTACTGTTATTATTACTAGATTGGGAGCTCCCTGAAAACAGGGACAATGTTTGTTCTTCTGTGACTAACCCCAAAATTTGAACAAGGTCCATCATGCAGCAGGCATGTGTGCTAAATGAAGGAAGCCACCAACACATGTGTGCATGTATGCTTGTACACAAGCACAGTTAGGTGTGTTTGGTGGGAGGGAAGCTCCCAAAGAAAGGCTCAGAAGTCTCGTCTTGTCCTCCAGTTGTGCACCTCCGGACTTGGTTTCCCCCATCTTGCCTAACCTCCTCTAATATCTGGCACTGAGATTTCTGGGGCTAGATCAGGAAAAAAGATTAGGACCAGCATTTTCCTTTTAAAGTCATGAACTTTCATCCTGTCGGCCTGATATCCTTTTGACCAAGCCTGATTGCTTCCTTTCCTTGTCCAGCTGAAGAAACTGGATGAATGTTTCAGAACTGGCCAATAATCTTCAGGGTATCCTGTTGGTCAGGCCTTAGGAACACTCTTTTTTTTTTTCTGAGATAAACAAGGTTAAGTGACTTGCCCAGCGTCACACAAGTAGCAAGTGACTAAAGCTGGATTTGAACTCAGGCCTCCCTGATGCCAGGCTACGTTCTTTATCCATTGTACCATGTAGCTGCCTCAGGAACAGCCTGTGGAGAATGACATAGGATCACAGGATAAGAGGTAGAAAGAAACTTAGAGGTCATAGGTGGCTCAGTGGTTAGAGTGTTAAACATGCTTAGAGTCAGGGTGAGTTTGAATCCTGCCTCAGACACTTACTAGTTAAACAGGCAAGTCACTTCATCTGTCTCAGCCATCGAGTTTCCGCATGTGTAAAATGGGGATGATAATAGTACCTATCTCACTGATTATTGTGAAGCTCAAATGAGATCTACAAAGTGCTTTGCAAACCTCGTACGATTATCAGTGAGAAAACTCTAGCCCAGAGAATGAGAATGACTTGTCCAAGGTCATGCAGCTGTGACGGTAGTTTTGAACCATGATCTTCTGTCTCTTTTCACTATGCTAGGCTGCCTTCCCATATGCTTTCCAGATGGTGCTTCCTGCTGGAAAAGAAGTCTAAGGAGCCTTCTGAGGGGAAGGCAGATTAGGAAAGAAGGGGCCAGCTTGGGTGAGGTCTATCGTTCAATCAACAAGCATTTATTAAGTGACTGCTATGTGCCAGGCACTGTGCTAAGCCTTAGATCATTCACAGGAAAGAGAAGATGAGATGAGCTCTGATAGAACCAAGGGGAAAAGGGGAGACCTGGATAGATTGTGAAATTCCTCCAGAAGCATTTTGGGGACCCCCCAGATGCTGCTCCATCAACTGTCAGGGGAATACAGCCCAGGGCTGACCACACTGGGACAGCCAAGCCTGGGGCTTTGAGGCTTGTCTGAGAAGGGGAGAGGTGCCCCAAGAGGGAGGAGTCATAGGGATCATAGGATTTTAGAGGAAGAAGGGACCTTAGACATCATCTGGTCCCATTTTACAGACTAAAGAAATTGAGGGCCAGAGAGGGGGAGGGATTTGCCCAAGGTCACCCAGGCAGTAAGCAGCAGATGATTTGAATCAAGTTTCTTTGCACCCAAATTTGGTACTCTTTTTACTACACTATATATTTGTCCATACACTAAAGCTCTAGGACCTGACTTTGAGGGCCAGACTTGGTTACTTGATGCAGGGAACAGATCCCTGGATGGGTCGTGGACTAGGTGAGCAGAACTCCCAGGGCTCTTCCCCATTCTGTTCTTAAAGCTGCTTCTAGTCACTGGCTTCCAGCCTTCATTCTCTCCAGTGCTCTGGGAGGGGAGGGAGATTTCATAGTGTGGGAGTGGGGGGCTGGCCTAGCCAGGAGGAGGGGGAAATGAGGACTGGAGCCCTTCTCAGTCCTCACAGGCAGGGCAGGGCCAGTCATGGCCAGGCGGGAATCCTCACCCATCTTCTATGCCCTGAGAGTTGGGCAAGGTATGGACAATGACTGTCCATGTGCTGCTCATCTGCCCAGATTCTAGCCACTTCCTGGACTGGGTGGGTGGCTAGTTGGGCTTCTAGGCTAGTGAAGAGCCTTTGACCTGGACTTTAACATACCTCTTCCCTCCCTCAGGTAGTACAGAGGATCAAGGCTGTAGAGGGTGAGACCCGGCTCCTGGTAGTGGACAAGGAGACAGACGAATACCTGGCCAGCCTGCATCTGACCTGCACAGAGGAGATGGCTAATCACGGGGTTCCACCTTCAGCTCCCATAGCCCCCCAAGATAATGGCAACTTGTGGGAGCCCCAGCCAGAGACCTGGCCCCCAAGGGCTATGGGTGGCAGCTTCAGCAGCCGGAAGGTAGGGACAAAATGTGGGTGAGTGCTCTGTGATGTCTTAGCCCCCTTCAGCTGACCTAGTCTCTGTCCTCACAGGCTCTGGTTTCTGCCCGAGGGGTGGGGGATGTAGCGGTAAGAATATTGCATTTGGATTCAGGAGACCTGGGTTGGAATCCCTGTTCTTCCTGCTACAAGCTTCACTTCAGACCTCTGGGCCTCAGTTTCTTACTGTATAAGATGAGGAGACTTGGAGTCTGTGATCTCTAAGGCTTAGTTTTAAAACCCTCTGATCCTCTCTCCAGAGATGTGCCAAGTCTGCTGGGGCCAGCAGCTTCTCGCTGGGCTTTCTCAGTCCCTGCTGAGCTGGGCAGCTTCCTCTCCATTGGGAGCTGCCAAGCCTAATGCTGGAGCTGTCTTCCCACCCCCATCCCTCTGCAACAAACACACAAGGACAAATGTCAGCAGAAGCTGCCTTGGCCCCCAGAGCAGCGGCTGCCACATGGGGGTAGGAGAAGAATGCAGGGGGTGGAAGGGGTAGGAGGCTACTCATAGCCGGTCTGTATGTGGATGGCGTGTGGGCACTCAAGAGAGTGACAGCTGATGCTCCTTCGGGGTATTGGGGCAGTGTGTTCTGTGAGGAGGGGAGCTGGCCTACACGTTCCTCCACACATACTCCCTATAAGGAGGGAGTGTTCCCTGGGCACACTATGGGCAAAGTGATTCCCCCCTCATTCCCACCCCTATCCCGTCCTCTGAGCCCAGCGTAACATCCTCCCCCAGCTGAGTAGGTCTCAGAGCTGGGCTCCTGATATAGCTAAAGCTCAGAGGAGGAGGGAGAGAGTCATGGTTCTAGGCCTAAGGTTCTTAACCTGGGGCTCACAATCTCCAAAGAGTCCATGGATAGATTTCAGTGGGGGATGGAAGGCAGGGGGTCAGTGAACTTGGAACTTTTAATATTTTGATGACTGTATTTCAATATAATTGAGATGAAATAATTTGTAATCTGAGGAGTCCATAGGCTTCATCAGACTGCCAGGGGTCGATGACACAAGAGATTAAGGACCCTTGTTCTTGACAGAGATCTTTGAAGGATGGGAGTGTGAATGCTGGCGGTTATTCTGGCAAAGGTCTGGAGCTGGGGGCTAGGATCCAGCTGTGGTTCAGATCCGAGCTCAGCCAGGGAAGTCATCTTGAGGCAGGTGGACTGTGTTCTCAGCTGCTCCCAGGCCCTCGAGTTGCCTTTCCTGGTCCTCATTGTTCAAGGAAGGGGGTCAGGACTTTGAAGGAAACTCCCCCCTCCATTGTGAGATGAAAGACCTACCAGGGCAGGCCATAACAAACCCTCAGGAAACCAGGCCCAAGCTTCCTGGGGCCCCACCCTAGACGCACCCTCAGGAGCCAGGGCACTGATTTCCCTACTTTAAAGGACTCTAGATTATCTACACTGGGCACCTTCTTCCTCCCAGGCTGACCACACCTGGCTGTCAGGTGAGGGTCTCCCTTGTGACTTGTATTAAACATTCCAGGCTCCAGTTTCTTCTCTTCTTTCTTCCTTCTCGGACTGGAGCCAGGAGGGAAGGATTTCGTCCTTGCTGAGTCCAGGAAGGCCAGATAATAGAGAGCTATTTATGTATGTGTGTGTCAGTGGGGGTACGCCTGACCAAAGATGGGTTCTTGATTGTGCCATGGGCGGGAGACATGTCTACCAGCTCTTCTCCACCATGTTGTCAGCCTCTGTCAAATCCCTCTCCCCATCTCAGAGCTTTTCCCAACTCCGGGAGTGCCTTTTCTGTCCTAGTCAAGCTCGATTCCTCAAAGCTCCGTCTCACCCACCCCCCATATTAGGCTCACATCATTCCTGCAGGTAAAGCCCTTCTTCTTCTTTTCTGCTTAGTCAAACCCTACCCAAACTCCACCTCCTCCAGGAAGCCTTCCCTGATCCCTCTGACCTCCCATCTCTGAGCAACTAGAGCCTTCAGAGTTTGAGTACAATTGCCCCGTTCTTGTTTGGTCACCAGACTCTATGTCCTCCCCACCCCTGATTATGAGTTCCCTAATGGCAGTGCCTGGGTTTACTCCTCCTGTCTCTTCCCCGAGACTCTACACCCATCCAGGTCAGGACCTTTTGCTGCTGTTTCCCGACATCAGAGTTGGACAGAGGGGTTGGGGGCTCCAGGGGAGGAATCTGGAGAACATAAGACTTTAGAGATGAAAGGGAATCTGGACACAGCTGAGTCCAGTCCCTTTATAGTGAAGGAGACTGAGTTTCAGAAAGAGAAAATGTTTTATCTCAAATTACCCATCAGATTACTAATAGAGGCAAGATGGGAAGCCCAAGCTTCTTGACTTAGTCGAGGGCTCTTTTCCATAGTCAAATCTCCCTCTGAAAGAAATCCTGGGATAAGGAAGAGCTTCAGTGAGGACAGAGTGGCAAAAGTCTGGGGACTATTGGGACCAGGATTAGAACGGCTATTTCAAGATCCCCTCTTCTAGTCCCAGGGGCCAACGCTGGCTCCCCCTCATAAGACACATGACTCTGGGCAGGTCCTAGGCCCTTGAGGAGAAGGAAAATATAACCTCTCTCCTCTCCCAGTTTATTTGGATGTAAATGTTCCTGGGTTCACCTTCCTGTGGAAAAATCCACTAGCCCAGGCTGTCCAGACCTTATCTATAGGCTCCAGAGTCCTTGCCAAGAGGGCAGCACCCCTTGGGCCAGCTGGGGCTGTGTGAGGAGGCACAGGGTCATTCTGGAGTCTCAGGAAGCCATGGGGCGGGGGTGCTTCCTTCTGAGTATTTTTAGTGCAGCACAAAAGCATGGGGTCCCTCTGCCCTTTTTTGTGAAGCCTTGGGGTTGTATGGGGGTGGGGAAGTGTTGGGGGAGGAAACCTGGGAGCAGGGGGTGGGGCAGGACAATGATTCTGGGTGTGGGGCTCCTTAGACTGGAGAGTCAGGCCATCCCAGGGGAAGGTCATCCTGATCCCTCCCATTGCTACAAAGATGAGGACATAGGTCAGAGATATTGCCTCCCCACCTCCATACTAAAGAGTGAGATATTGAGGGGGCCATGAATTACAGGTAGTCTTGAGCCTGGAGCAGGAGTGGAGTGACTGAAGCCAGCCTAGTTCTGTCCTTTAGATATCATTGGGGGCAGCTAGGTGGTGCAGTGGATAGAGCACTGGCTCTGGATTCAGGAGAACCTGAGTTCAAATCCGGCCTCAGACACATAACACTTACTAGCTGCGTGACCCTGGGCAAGTCACTTAACCCCATTGCCTAACCAAAAAAAAAAAGAAAAGAAAAGAAAAAAAAAGACTCAGTAGATATCACTGGGCCAAGTGTCAAGGGACCTGCCTCAATCAGGATTGATTTAAGGACTGAGATCGTCATTATCATCACAGTCCAGCTGTATATAGTTTTAAGTTTTTACAGTTGACTCCTCTATGCCCTGGCTTTGGTGAAGCCAATCTCTTCTCAGGCTCTCAGGATCCAGTGGGTCTTCAGTCTTGTTGGACCCCAGGAGGACAGAAACTGCCTTTAATTTCTCCCACCCTCTGATATCTTCTGATTATAATTGAGGCCTAATTTGGGGGGAAGTCACATCAGACCAAAAGAAGGGCCAAACAGTATTAACTCAGACCCTGTTTTCTGGGTGGGACCAGGACATAAAATCTCTGCGTGCCTCTACTTACCTCTCCCAGGCTGGAAGGGCAGGAGGAGTAGCCATTGCTCTTGCAACCAGCCTCCTGTCTAAGGGAAAATGGGCTGTTAAGGTGATGATGAGCTAAGCAAATTCCTTCTCATTTAGCTTCCTCTACTCTCTGGGCAAATTGCAGCAATGGCCTAGGTATTCTAGACTGGGGGTGAGGGGAGGGTCTGGAGAACTAAAGGAGGACTAAAACTCGTCAGTAAAAAAAAATATATGTATAAATGTATGTATATATATATGCATATGTAATGTATATCTACATACACATAATGTAATTTCTTCATAAAACTTATAAATAATTATTATTCCTTAGGTACCCATGAGCAGGCAGTGTCCACTTCCTTAGATCTCATTATGCTGAGATGGGTGAGGGTTCAGATGCCCAAGACAGCCAGAGTCCAGCTGAGTGTTTGTCTTGTCTTCTGTCTGCCTTCAAGGGGGCTTTTCTGGCCTATGAGGGAAGGGTAGAAGCTGTCTTTGATGAGGGAGAGGTAGTGGTGTTATCTGTTGTCAACAGTAACTCTAGGGGGAGGTCAGGGCTGGGGATAGCCCTTAGAGATAGGAGCTGTGTATAGGGGTCATCCCTTGAGATATGCATGGGGTGTGGGCTTAGGGATGGGAGATGGTAGGATATCTTCTATGAAGTCCAGAGAGGTTCTCAGACCAAATGAGACCTCACCCGCTTCCTCTCCCCTCAAAAAAAAGTCCCCTAAGGAAGGAAGGAAACAAGAATTTATTAAGTCATCTACTATGTGCCAGGCCCTGTGCTAAGTACTTTACAAATATCATCCTGTTTGATCCTCACAACAACTCTGGAAGGTATGTGCTATTTATTATTCTCATTTTACAGTTGAGGAAACTGAGGCAGATGGCAGTTAAGTGACTTTCCTCAGGTCACATGTGGAGGGGGAAGAGGGAAGGGAGGGTCACCCAATCTGAAAGGACAGAGATGCTTTTTAAGTCAAAGTGATCCTCACCCCTTTATATACAGATCTGATATGTGGGTGAGGAGACCTTCAGTCTCACTGGATTGGAGAGATGGTAGGTAAGGGAGTATTTCCTCTATCTCTATTGGGGTCTCACTGAGAACAAGATTAGAGATTTCCTTGGGTTTGTTTTTCTAATGCCCAGTTTTCATCGATTCCTAAGCATTTCACAGACACAGATCCAGCAGTATTAACTAGACCCTCCAAATGGGTAGGTCCTTTCCTTTCTGCCTCTACTCCAGGCTCCCTTCAAGCCTGTAGCAAGGGTGACTAGAGACAAGAAGGGCAGGACAGGATTCATTCCCTCACTGCAGGGTACCCATAGGCTGG